GGGGGGGGGGGGGGGGGGGGGGGGGGGAAAGGGACACACGAACCAAAAGGACAGATGCACGTGAACTGTCCCTGGCAGCTATTTGAACTTCCTTGCAAGTTTTTCATGTGATGGGGCTGGCTTAAATAGGAGAGCCTTGCAGGCCAGCCTACTTGAAATCCACAGTGACTTTTTGTGGCGCTCAAGGGTGGCCTTTTTTTTGGTAGACAAAACCTGGTACAGGGACACCAGCTAATAGTCAACCATTGTTTTGTCTTTTTAAATATATCTCTCTCGTGCAATATTAAGGATTCTTGCACAGTCTGACTCTCCAGTAGTGATGTTCTGTAGCAAGGTATTGACCAAAAATTGGCAGATGCCCTTGGAACGCATCCAAACCATTTCATCTGCATGACATTGATGCCTGAAATTTGGTCTTAAAATTCAGAAAATAAAAAAGACAATTTAACCATGGCTTTGGACTGACAGCAGTATAGTGACTGCATTGCTGCCTGTTCTCCCTTGGTCCTGTCCTTAATGCTCCAGGTCCTGGAGACTAATGATTAAATTAAAGCTGTGATTTACATTACAAAAAGTCCTTATACTTGTGGTGAAAAGCTTGAAAATGTGACCTCATTATAACGTCAAGGCTCAGACACCTGAAGGCAAAGAGGCAAGGGGGACTTAATTTTTAAGGCAGTCTCAGGCCCCACAAAACAGTGACTCTCTGGTCTTTTGGATAGTCAAGATTGGAGCTCCAGCTACATCAGAGGAGTATCATGCACTCTTTGGACGTGGAATGAATAGATTCCTCCTGCTGTTGTAATGCTGTCACACATCTGCCCCTAAAGGCCTCAGAACGAATAGTTTTTCTGCCCATTGCTTCCATTCAGAGAAGAGAATATAGAGTTGCCTGGCTGCAGTGGAGAAGTGGCAATGTTGACAGTTTGCAAGTAGGGGGTCCGTTGCTCACCCTCCATCCCGTATTGGATGGAGCAGGACAGACAGCCTCCTGCATTTGCTTAGCCATGACCAGTGAGTCACTGGAGGATGGACATCAGTTAGAAATGTCTCTCAACCACACACGTGTGCAGCTCTCGAGTAGTAATGCCTTTTCCCTCTACCCCACCTGGAAAGCAAATTTCTGAAGGAACAGCAGTGTTACAAAGAATGCCAGATGCCTTTGTCTTTCAGAACTGACTTATCTTGTGGTCTCTGTTGACTTTCTAATAACCCATTTCCCAATAGCTTTCACATGATTGAAGTAGTACCCTGTGTTCGTGACACAGATACAGACTTGTCTGCAGTGTCCTTAGTGTTCTGTTGCAATAGCCTACTTTTTAATATGAAAGAAGAGACTGAGAGTTGAGTAGCTTTCAACTAAGGTTGACAGCCAGTGGGTTCATTTTTAACACTTACCAGTGTACTTATGATTTCTCACTGCTTATTATCTGCCAGAATAGAGGGTTGTTGATTTTTATTTTATTTTTAAACCCATGTATTGTTTTTTATAGGTCAATTCTGGAAAAAGAAGGACCAAGGTCGCTTTTCCGAGGATTGGGTCCAAACTTGGTTGGGGTTGCACCATCAAGGTAAAGATCTTTAAATTGCTCAGTAATAAACATAAAAAGGCGTATTTTAAGGCTGTCACAAACACCGTTCCGTGTTCAAATTCACAGTGAAGATGTTTACAAGGTTCTTATTAAACTAGGTTTGGTTATAGTTCACTTAAAGAATTAACTGTTTATCAGGGATAAGATAACTGTAGGCCTCTGTCTAGCAGGCCTGTCACAGATTAAATGACTATGGACAGGTTCTTTAACTCTTGTACCTTCATTACCCGATTTGTAAATAGGGGCTACTCCTCTTTGTAAAGCAGTTGCAGATCAATGGAAGAAAAAGTGATATGTAAGTGAAAAATAAATCTTGTGTATATATTGAGCCATTCTTTTTGTGTTACACAACTCAAAATGGGTTGTATATTACCGTTTAATACTACTGTAGCACATTTTAAGGTACAGATTTAGAGAAGGCAAGAGAACACCTTCATATGCTTTTTATGTCTGTTTACTGCACCTAAAAGCTACCAGGCTTTCTATGCCAGTTCTGTTGGTTTCAAAAAAAATATTTCTTAGATATGTATCCAAGCTGCTCCTCTTGATATTTGCTTTTCATTAGCTACAAGACAGAGACAAGCAGAGGGAGCTTGGGAATGGTGGAATATTGCATAATGGAATGGATTTCATTTAGTACTAGCAAGTTAGTTTATTTTAAAAAGGAAAGCAGCTTGTATATACAGCTTGTTAGAAAGGATGACTTGGGGAACTGGTCATAAATTGGGAAGTTTGTGAGTGCAGAAAAGCTGAGTAATAATATTATTAGTACTTCTGTAAAGTGATCTAGCACTCTTGTGAAAAACTACAGGTCAGATCCCGAAAAAGGGCCTTACAGGTAGGTGCCTTACATTTTGACACTGAAAGTTCCCAGAGTTTTCTATTGTAAATGCTGAGAACTGTTCCAGGGCAGAGCAGCACAGCCCCATTCTCACTCCTAAGCCCAGTTCGGAGCCAGAAAGTTGGCAGTCATCTCATGGTATTCTTGGATCATGCCTAACACATGGGGGCAAATGCAGGGGCTGCTGTTGCAGAGGAAAAAGACGTGACACTGTGCCTGATACAATAGTGGTTAGAGCTCCTGCCAGAGATGGAGGAGACGCTGCTTGAAGGGATTCAAAGTGACACCTCCCACCCTCCAGGAGAGCATCCTAAACATGAGGCTGTTGTAGGTGGCACAGCCTCAGCAGGGGAGGTGGAAAGATGGTGGCGGGGAGGTAACGTCACCTTTTTCTTCTCTGGCAGAGGCATTTAAAAGAACAAGAAACCTTGCCCAGCTCTTTGAAAGAGAGAGCACAGGCCCCTACGTGTTAGTGGCAGAGCCAGGATTAAAACCCAGCGACCCCGCTCTCCAGTTTTGTGTCCTGGCCACCAGACTATGCTACCTCCTATTTTGGGTTGACTTAAAAGGAAAACATTTTGCTCTGTGGCAGCTGGTGCAGTCTGAGCCTGAGTTTTTCTAGACCAAAAAAATTGGGCAGAACCCTTTTGAGAGAGACCTCTTGTTTTTAGACTGTGGGAAGAAGGTAGCAGTAGTCGGAGTTGAATGTTTAGAGATACCCTCTATATGAAATTCTCCTTTTTCTTGCACAGGGCTGTCTACTTTGCGTGCTACTCCAAAGCCAAGGAGCGATTCAATAGCATTTTTGTGCCCAACAGCAACATTGTGCACATTTGCTCAGCAGGCTCTGCAGGTAGGTAATAGCTGTTCATCTCCCTTGCTGTTTTGCAGTGGTTTCAAGCTACCCAGCCTTCCTCCTGTAGTGGGCTAATTCTGTCGATTGTACTGTCCAGCCGGGATCGCAGCCCCCCCCCACAATCATTTGTGCTCTGTTCCAAAAACCTCTTCAGAGGGAGAGATGAAATAATTGTATACGTGAGACTGCCCTTCATTATTGCAGAGCCCGCCATGCCACTCCCCTGTACAGTATAGCTGCTGTTGTGGGCTGCAGGAAGTACATTTCCTCATCCTCACCCCTCAAGCAAATTCTGCAGTGAATTGGAAAGCAGAACAGGGTTTTCTCTGTCTCTATGGTGCCAGGAATAGTGTAGCCCTATCTGATTGGCCCACTGCGTACTACCGTGGTGCAGTGAGAGAGCAGCTTTGTGTTAATGTGCACAAATCATTGGCTCTTTCTGAAAATATGCGCTTGAGCTCCTTGCGTGGGCAAACATAAGAATTCATTGCTGGGAGTCAAGAAAGCGAGTCTTTCTAAGAAACGTGCCTAGCAAATGACCCCCATAAAAGCCCGAGAGCAAGAGAGGTGACTGAGTTCAGGAAACAAAGTGCAAGGCATGGTTACAACTAAAAGCTGTTGAACTGAGAATTTTCAGTTATCTTCAAAACAGGGAGACAGGAGGCAACTTGGCAAGCTCACCCCTGGATTTGTATATACCCAAGCTTACCCCTGGATTTGTAAGGAATATACTCCTGCACAGCTAAAAAAGTGATATTCTGCAGAGCATCTTTTCTTACATCTGGCAGTTTTGCAGCTCCTGTCTTATGCAACTTAGTATCAGTGCAAACAGGAAGGAATTTATTATAAATCGGTGTTACACGCACCAGTTATGTAACTTGGCTGTGGGAAGCTGTGACTAGTATGTTTTCAAAAAGTCCCTCCAATGCTTTTGAGAGGGGGAACAAAACTCCAGAACACACCAAGTAGATGCCTGTGTAGGTTTGTGTGCACGTAGTCAGCCTCTGTAGAGAAATGCTTAACTGTTGACATAACCCTGTGGGAGGCTGGAGATTATGATCAATTTTGAATCCTGCTGGATGTAAGAGTCACCCTGCAGAATAAGGCACTGAGGCTGAGATTTTTTAACATGCCTAAAGGTGACTCAGTCAGAGTAAGACACGCAATACCTTAGGCACAACCTACGCATAGATTGATTGTGTGTGGTTGGTTTTGTTTGTGCCAGCATAACTCTGTTGCACAGGGGACGATCATACTTCTATATTTTTAACAAGCCACTTCTACTGACACAACGTTAGTCTGCGTGCCGATATGCCAAAGCAGATAGACTTTATAATGGTAAAGGTAGGTACATTGTGCTGATGAAACAGTCCGCACATGGCGGAAAGGGAGGACAGACCACTTGAATGATACTGCAGTAGTTAAAGCTGTACAGCCTGTGTACAGATAAGGTTTTGGACTCCTTTGTAAAATCTCAGTGTTAAAAGTATCTGTAGAATAAGTACTGCAGTTACTGAGTGATGACCAGCAATGGAGTGTTGGTGCCTTATCCTTTTGTGGAGCAAAACTGCTTCCATGGATATTTACCAGGGGTAAAGGTTTATTGACTGGGAAACTAGAAGGAAGCAAGCTGTTAACTTCAAAAAAACAGCATTCCCTGGATCTCATGCAGCATGTGTATTTGCCTGGCTTGTGAAAGAACCATATCCTAATTGAAAATTATTTTTTAAAGTTGTGTACGTTCTATTTCAAAGTGGTAATTCAGTATTACCAATCCCACCATGCCAAATATCATGAGACAAACTCTTAAAAAAAACCAAGAGATTAGCATGTCAATTATGACATGCTGTTTTTGAGGTGGGGGGCTCTGGGAGGGAGTGTGGGGGGTTTGAAACCTGGGGAGCAGGGGGTCCCCACACACCCTGGGAAGATGCGGAGTGCTGCAGATCAGGAGTGAGAGGCAGCGGCAGGGCTGGAGGGGCTGTGGCTTGGGAGTGAGGAACAAACAGAGACAAAGATGGCACCCAGCTGATAAGTGGAGGGGAAAGGGCTGGCCGGAGAGGGAAGAGGTAGGGAGGGAGGAGACCAAAGGCACCCATGGTGAGGGAGAAAGTGGGGCAGGAGCAGGGGCTGGGGTGAACGGGGCCCTCGGGCTGAGGCGGGTTGTCCAGGGGCGATGGGTGTGGGGGTTGGCTCCCCGCAGCAGCGCATACCCCCGGGAGATGCATGGGGGGCACATGCCCTCCATGGGGCAGAGGCAGGCTGCCCACTGTAAGCTGGGGCTCTGTGCCCTGCTGCTTTTGCCCTAGAAGCTCAGCCGTGCAACGCCATTGCTGCTTGCTGGGTGGGCAGCTGACACGGGGCATGCTGGCCACGCAGCATATTGCCTGCCCACCTGGTGGCAGGAAGCACACTGGTGCCACATGGCTGAGCTCCTGGGGCAAAGGCAGCAGGGCACAGTCCCCTGAGCCTGCAGTGGGCAGCCTGCCTTTGCTTACAGGGGGCACATGCCCCCCGTCTCCCCCAGGGGTGCACACTGCTGCAGAGAACTGCAGGCCCCTTTCCCCCCACCCCCGATGCCTCTGGACAACTTGCCCCACCCAGCCCCAGGGCCTGTTCCTGACCCTCTCCCTCCCTCAGCATAGGGGCCTCAGTCCCCCCCCCCCAAACCATCCCTTGCCCCCCCACAGACTTACCAGCTGGGAAAATCCAGAGATCTGAGGATTTGATCTGGAGATCATGAGCCGGAGTTATTTTGACTTGAAAATCCTGATTCTTGTGATGTTTTCCCCAACAGTTGGCATTACTGGTAATTTTTAAATTCGAAGGAGAAATAGTACAATAATGCTCCTCGGAATGAGGACAAAAGTAGAAATGAACAAACCTTCAACTAAAGTGTTTTTTAGGCAAACTATTGGTTTGAGTTTCTTTTTTTGTCAGTCTGGGGAATGTAGCTTACTGTTGTGGGAATATTACTGCAAGACGACTCCATCAGCTCTCTCCAACCAAGTTGCCAAAATGCCCATTTAAAAGCCATTCTAAAATAACCCTTAACTACAAGTGGATTTGGTTAATGAGATGGCCCAACAGCACCACCTAGAGTCATGAAATATCCCATCGGGATGGTTTGCCCATGGATTTCAGTTCAGTAAAAGAGAAGTTAATAAATTATTGTAAACCCAGTCGGTAAATATTAAATCTTGCAAATGGTTGTTTATAGCAGCCTGGGTACATGAGATTCCCTAACACACCTGTCGCTGTAGTACCTGAAGCGAACAGAGCAAATACCTCTGAAGGTTACTATGGCAAAGTCCTGTGGCAGTGCCTTGGTTCCAGACTTACCCGCCTGCACTTCTTGTCTTGAACCTCTTCACTGAAACCTGCCAACTGGGACTGGGTAGCATTAAAGCTTAATATTTGCCTAGTTACTGAAGCCACTGCACACACTTCGTGAAACTGTGTGTTTTCTTTCTGTCTTTAAGCTTTTGTCACCAATACCATGATGAACCCTATATGGATGGTGAAGACCAGAATGCAGCTGGAACGGAAGTAAGCAACTGATTGAGAGAAACTGGCTGACACTATTTATGGGAGGCTCCAAAATATGTTTGCCTCTTCCATCCATGAGTCCATAATGAAGCTCTTCCTACCCAATTCAACCACCACAACCTTTAAGGCACTGTCCTTCTAGCTGACTAGGGTACAGCTTTAACTTGTCAGTGTTGCACTTTAATTTGACAAGGGTCACTACCACTACCCAGTGGGTCCTAGCTGGAGACTCAGAAGATGTTGTGGAAGCTGACAGTTTAGCCAGATTAAAAAAGGGATCAGACATATTTTTGGAGGAAAGGGTCATCGATAGCTATTGAGCGTGGGAGTTAGGGGTCCAGTCTCTGAATCAGAACTTCTTAGACCCTAAATGGTGGATGCTGCAAGTGGGAGAGGAAGTGTGGAAAAAATCTGCTCAGATCCTGTTTGCTCACCCATTCGGCATCCGCTCTCTGCCGCTGTGTGACACAGGATCCTAGGCAAGATGGAGCAACAGTCTGACCCAGTAAATGGCAGTTCTTATGTTCAGGTCCTAGCATTAGCCCAGACTGTGCAACTTTGGCGTGCCTTGGTTCCCACCTGTAAAATCTTTCCTACACCAAAGGGACATTAAGAAGATAAAAGCATTGACTATTGTGAAGTGCTTGTATACGATTGGAATGGAGGCCATATTGAGTATCAAAGAGATTCCCTGCTGGGTTCAGTTTAGAAAAGGCTAGGACTAAAGGCCACTTAGGCAATACGGAGAGTAACACTGGCTTGAGATTCTACAGATGTGGGTTTAACAGTTGGTTCATATACTGCAATAATTTAAGATCCTCAATAACTGACCACTATCTACACTGAGAACAGGAACATGTTTTGGGGGATTTTTTTTCCTAAATGTCAATAATTGAGTAGTTTTGCTTCCAAGGGAAGTGGTGCTGGCTCCCACCTTGGGGGTCTTTAAGAGGAGGCTTGGCAATTACCTGGCTGGGATCATTTGAGCTCAGTTTTCTCTCCTGTCCAGGGCAGGGGGTCAGACTACATCTACAAGGTCCCTTCCAACCCTACATCTATGAATCTATGTTAACAATATGTCTTTAGAAAGGCAGCTTTCCCCCTCTGCTGTCTCAGGTCAGGTGGGTGAGATAAGAAGGATCCCAGCAGCTACCAAGAAATTATTGAAAATGAAAGTGACCACTGGCTTGTAGATCTTATAAATTATTTATAAAGACTAAGTCCAGCAAGTCACTAGGTGGTTCCTTTGAATTGAATGCTGCCACTTACCCTGAAGGGTCAGTTCTCCTGGAGGAGGCCATTGTCTATGGCTAAAGTTGGACTGGAAGGAAATTGCTGGTTCACTTTACAGCAGTGCCTCTACCGTGGTAAGTGTTTAGATCGCTGAAGCAGTATAACAGAGTAGCCAGGCCGACCTGAAAAGATTAGCACAAGCATGTATCAACTGATTGGAAAAGCCAAGCTTGCACAGTTAGCATTGCAGTCCTGCTCCTGGCCTTCAAAATGTGACTACAATGCCAACAATAATGAGCCATTGAAGTCTCTGCAAAGCAGTCCTAGATTCTTGCAGTTACATTTAGCAAGCCATTCTTGTTCCTCCTGGGTTATTTATCGCTTGCAGCATTTCCATACGAATGTTTTATCTTGCTCTAATTTCATTTTTTTTTGCTTTTTAGAGTCAGGGGTTCCAAGCCCATGAATGCTCTGCAGTGTGCTAGATACGTTTACCAGACAGAAGGCATCCGTGGCTTTTACAGAGGCCTCACTGCCTCCTATGCTGGTATTTCTGAAACCATTATCTGCTTTGCTATTTATGAAAGCTTAAAGAAGCGCCTGAAGAATGCCCAGCTGCCTCCTTCTGCTAATGGGACTGAGAGGAGCTCCACAAACTTTTTTGGACTGATGTTTGCTGCTGCAGTTTCTAAGGGCAGTGCCTCATGTATTGCTTATCCACATGGTACGTTATCCTTTCCATTTACCAGTTGAGTGGTACATGTGTTGCCTCTGGTCTGTGCTAACTGATGGGCAGCAATGCTGTAAAGTTATTAACTTCAGAAGACACCCTTGTTGTCTAGAGATGCACCTTACTCTGAATGCATCTACACCGAGGTCTTTGGTGTTCCCATTGCTCTTTGTTCATTAAATAACAAGGCTTCCTAAAAGAAGTTGGCTGCCTGTTCCCCCCCCCCCCCCCCCCCCCCTTGTCTCTCCCCCG